AGTGCCATCTATGACACAAGATCTGGACAGTTGCAAAATTTCTTTCTTATGATACGCCCGAAAACACCCAAACGTCCTGAGAAAATTCTGCTACATATTATATTGAACGAGCTGACTCACGCCGTAAGCATACGCCGCTATTTAGTTGAGTGACGCGTCAAAAGAGCGCACGACAAAAGTGTGCCGACATAAGAGCGCCGACATAAGAGCGCTAATTTGCCGACAAAAGAGCGCCGACATAAGAGCGCAAACTAAAGATCGAACAGCCATATTTAATAAATAGGAACAAGAAAATTAACTCAGATTGAAGGTATTGTTTGATGTTAACTCTTTATTGTTTCATTAAAAACTAATTGTTTAGTTTCTTTAACTAAAAAACTGGTATTGACGATTCTTCTTCTTCTTCGTTCTTAAAATTTTAGTGTTGGAAGGGATCGAGCCTTATCTTCCAGAGGGTTTGAACTCGAAACTTTTTTCGAATTTATCAACCATGAGCTTTGCCGAATCGACCATGCTTCCATCACAATTAAGCGTTACGTGTCAACTGGTTATGAGCCATTGAGGTCATTGACTCCGATTTCAGCCTGCTTTTGTTTTTGGATTTGCTTCGATAGCCTTTGTCCAACCATGAAAAAACTACAAGGCAGCAGTTGTTTGATTTTGGAGTTGTCTCTCCTAGAAGAGTGGCTGTTCCCAGCTAACGAGCCTCATCTGCCCGAGGGTTCGAACTCGAGACTTTTCGGTTTAGCAACCATGAGCTTTACCGATTGATAATATCCATTGTTCCGAACATCATCATTCTGTAAACGTCAGTCGGTCCGGAGTCCAACAAGACTAAATTTTGCCCTCTTGTTGTCGTTTGAAGAGCTTCAGGAATTGTTATCTCTGCAACGTTATGCGGATTTGGGAATGGCAGCTGCTTGCGTTTTCTCTGTCTTTCTATTGCACGTCGTGAAGCGACGTATGCCGGCAAATGAGGTGCTACTTCCATCGAATTTAGTTGTTTTATCTTCTAAAATATTGCCTTTCTATCAAAGCAAGAAAAGTGTGACAGACAAAGCCCGCGAAACAACATATATTCTTTTTTTCTATTCTATTTTTAAAAAAGTTTAAATAATTAAAATGAATTAAAAATCATGTCTAAATCCTGAGTTTTAGGTTAGATCACTCCCGATTTATTTAATATTTGATTTCTTAATGAAACCAATTCCTTTGAATCAATATAATTGTTGTGTTGTTTTTTTTAAATATTATATTCAAAAATTGTTCTTCGATTCTTTAACAAATTTTCATAGATGATTTTAAAGATAATTAAAAATAATATTGAGAAACAAAATGAACATATTAAGGACTTTCAATGAGGTATATTCGTATAACGCTAAAATATTGGACGTAGTCCCGGATGTTGGAATTCTTGAAGCGCGTACGCTCAAGAGTAATTGGATCTGAAGAAGAATTATATGGAACGCCAAAAGGGTTGCAGTCGGGTTCAACGTTACAGCTAGAGATCCACCAGCCCCCCTGGGATTGCTTAGCGCAGTCGTTGACCGGGTCGTCGTCGTTGTCCCGCCCTGGGGCCGAGAACCCGGGGGTGGTTTTGCTGGAGAAGCAGTTGGTGAAATTGGTGGCGTTAACAGGCGGGAATGATAAAGCAGGGAATTTGTTTGTTGCAAAACTACCGTAAGAGAACTTGTAGTTGTTCGAGGAATCCGTGATGTTGATGTTGTAGTATATGAAGACGTAGCCGAGGGTGTCACCGCCAAAATACAAATGCACGTTCATTCTGGCCGGTTTCCTGGAGACGGAGTAGAGATAGTACATGTTGTCTAGCCCCACCCACAGGTCGTATATGTTGGGGGTCAGGTAGCCGACGTTGTAGCTGAACCCAGCTACGTATTCTTCCCACGTTCGATTGACGTAGAACGGCACCGTCACGCGGAAGTTAGCGAAATCAGTCCGAATTTCGCCGGTGTCCATGATAGCGCAGTTGGTAAGGTAGGAAGCGTTTGTGAATGTACTTCTTAGGTATGAGCCGACTCTGGTGTTTACCTTATAGCTGCCTACCAGGTCCCTGCAGCTTTTACCAAGCGTGTCACAGTTCTCACCGATGTACCCTGAGTTGCACTGACAAAACCGGATCGTGGGTATCCACGTTCCTTTACAGTCAGACATTGATGGTACCATCTTATAAAACGTGTACCCGGCATCCGTCTGGCTGCAATTTCCCGAGGCCGGGTCCGTACAGTAGGCAAGAATGTAACATTTGTTTGCGCTGTCTAGGGCGACACCACTGCAGTTGTTTCTGTCTGCACAGATGCGAGTACACTCCATCCGGCGCATGGGCGTTGGTTTGGCTAACGTGAGACATCCTGAGGAGAATTTGTTCTGGACATCACACAAAGTCGAAATTTTCAGCCTAGAGGACCGTAATATACCAGTACAATATCCAATGCAAGCAACCATAACAAACCAAGTTAAGACATGCATTGTCAATTTTAAAAAAAAAATTCTTCTCTACCAAATTATTTAACAAGAAAGAAGCATAGAATTATCTCGAATTTTACTATACTAGTTTATAGGTTAATGTTTGAATTCGTGACTGCAAAGTTTTAAGTTGAAAGTAAAAACAGATCTCAAAACCTAAGCAAGCTTAAGACTTGGTTTCTATATTCTAAACCATCACTTATAGGATCTCTTATCCTCTAAGGAATCAATTCTTTTAACTTTCCACAAAAAAAAAAAATGAATGACACTGCTTGTTTTTCGCCCGTTGTTCCACATAAAAACGAAACGCCAAAAATAAAATCCCCAATGAGAGGCACCTTCTACCAACAGACTATTAAATTTATAGGTCGACCTATCCTAAATGGAACCAATGCACGCGCAAGTCCGCAATGTCACGAACATAAAATAGAGGGCTCATTTTATAGCTATTGACAATCAATGGTGCCCCACCATCCCCACGCTGTACCAGTCTACCTAACACGGTGATGTGACGAGGTCCATTCCACGGCGGCACTTTTTGTAAGATTGTTTGAGCTGATTGAAAGGAGTTAAAATATTTTTTTTTCTATTTGTAATATACCACCCCCCCCCTTCCATTTCACACTGACTTTTTAAAAATCTATTATGCATTGGCAGAAGAAAGTGTTTTGAAGAGACGTTTACACAACTTCTGATTTCAAATGTAGTTTATACAAGAGAAAAAGCGGGCTGCTTTATGGTTCTTTTATGGTTCATTGATGTTCTTTTAAATGCCAAGTTAAAGAAATTGGTGTTTTTTTGTGATAATAAAGTTAAAAGCATCAGCGTTGTGTGATGTTGAAATAGAATAAATCACATATGAACGATAAAAGAAAATATACACACAAAAAAGCCGAGCCTGATTCTTTTGTCAGTGTTAAAGTATTGATAAAAGATGATAAATCAATCAAAATCAGAGTTCGATCTTTAATAGATCACAACAAACGTTTGATTTATCGACCACCGTGATGAAAGAGAACAGCACTCATGCATATTTTAGAGTCTGTATTTATATTTAACAACATGAAACATTAAAACTGAAAGTGTTTGGGTACGTCATGAGTTAGAAAAGATGTTAGGTCTACTGAAAATAATGTGAGGTCTGATGAAAAAGATGAGGTCTACTGGAAAAGATGTGAGGTTTGCTGGAAAGATGTTTGCATGTCATTATCAATCCTAGCGATGTAACATGACTTCATCCTATGGTTAATTAGGATATTGTTGCTATTGCACTGTGTACATTTACTAAATAAAATAAACCACGTGAAGTATCTTTTAGACACTAAATTATAATGTTAATGGTGTACTTCGCATTTCGTACTACATGAGATATGAAATAAGGTTTTTCTACACAGCACAGTGTCAGCCAAAAATAAATAACCTTCTAAACGGAAGGATAAGAGAATTTTAATATACTTAATTAATTCAATTAAAATTTACAAGTTTGTCCTTCTAAACGGAAGGATAAGAGAATTTTAATATACTTAATTAATTCAATTAAAATTTACAAGTTTGTATATTTGTATAATCATATATATATATATATATATATATATATATATATATATATATATATATATATATATATATATATATATATATATATATATATATATATATATATATATATATATATATATATATATATATATATATATATATATATATATATTTAGATTCAATAAATTGGAATTTCTACAATAAGTGTAAAAAATAAGTATAAAGCAAATTTTAATTATTCCAACAAGTTCCAACGACATTATCAATTTTCGATAGGACGTGATTAACAGACATTCTATAATAAGAATACAGAGTAATTAATGTTAGTTTTTATTATGTGATTTACTGATAAGGGCACGTATCACCCAGAAATGATTTTTTTTGTAATATCAAAAAAATAGAATTAAAAAACATATAACTGAGTGTCTAGTAAATAAAATTGACAGGCTTGACACTGCGATAGTTACAGAAGATAGAAAAAAAAATCATAAAAAACGTTTTAATAACAAGCTTTTATGTAATATTGCACTAAAAAGTAGAAAATAAATTATACACTACTATTTAAATAACTATAAAGAAAAGCGTGGGTCTCTTCCTAAATATTAGACACTACTAATTAAATTACTGTAATTAAAAAAGGGGTCACTTTAGTATTTATTGGATACCTAAACTAATATTTAGGAAGAGACCCACGCTTTTCTTTATAGCAATTAAAATAGTAGTGTATAATTTATTTTCTACTTTTTAGTGCATTATTACATAAAAGCTTGTTATTAAAACGTTTTTTTAATGAATTTTTTTCAGTACTATTTCTAATAGAGTTACATGACAAAAACCATTGCACGCCTATTAAAAGTATTGCCTTTCTCTGCCCTGTTTTATCGTAGAGCCCTCCTCGCTCCACGCCCAAGAGGGCCGTGATGACGCGTGTATTATGTGATGGTAAAGAACTAGACTGATGACCCGACTAAAAACCATCCCACGCCTATTGAATGTGATGACGCGCTTTTGACGTAGAGCCCCCCCCCCCCCTGGCTCCACGCCCAACACGGCCGTGATGACGCGTGTGGATAGAACTGCCTATTAATTCATCCAAATTTTAATTAATTCATAAACAAATTATTAGGTAACCAATTAATTCAAATTGAATGTCACGATGCATTGTTTTCATGTCTTGACCCACGTACCAATTACGAACCGTATCTGTTAGTTAGAAGTGCCTGCAATTTCACACGGCCGTTTCGATCTAGACAGACAGACAGACAGGCAGACTGACAAGGAACCAAGTTAAATAAAAGCTTGTAAAAAAAGAAGATATAAAGAAAGAATAGATGTAGATGACAATTGAGTCACAGCAAAGCTCCTCCAAATTTATAATTAAAAAACGTCAGTAGGGTGGAGATTCCTTTTAAAAAAATATTATTTCAAAAAATTTAATGTGCAGATCAATAATTATGTAATTCTAAAAAATGAGCCTAATGAGCTAAAACAATTAAATACCATTTGATCAATAACTCATTTGTCCACACATGGCGACTCTACATTAGAGGCGTAGCTAGATAAGAACGGGTGGGACAAGCACACACCGCGCCGACATAAAAGGGGCGCAAAAAGAATTCGGACAAAAATTAAAAAGCCCACTGTGAGCTGTAGTGCTAATACGCGCTATACCGTGCCCAAATAAATAGATCAAATAACCCCCGCCCCACTACCTTATAGATCTTACCAAAAAGTATGAAAGTTATTTGTGATGTCTTGATCCATTTTCGCCAGACTTTATACGGCTATTTGACCCCGCGCTTTAGACGTGATTGTCAACGTATTTTGCGGCCGATGAGAAAGACGAGTACTACACTCTGTCTTCTTGCAAGTCTCTAGTCATTGTTATTTTCAAATACGATTACCACAAAATAAACAGTATCAATGATCTAAACAAATGGTGCACGACAGTCAAGCATAAATAAATTATTCACTTGATCATTTAATTCAGTTTTTTAAAGATTCTTTCGACAATCTAAATAAAAAAGCAACCTTAAATTGGTCATTGTGTGGACTTTTCAAAGTTATATATTTTTATATCATTTTCCCGTACGTGCACAAAACATATGGGGCAGATGAAGTAGAGTTAACCTGACTCAGAGAAACCTCGGCATATGAAGGGATAGTGTCGTCGGAACTATGCCCAGCCTTTTGTTTTTCCTACAGCTGGGTGGACTCATGGACATTATTCTGTTTAAATGCTGATTCGAACTCGAGTCTTTCGAGTAGCAATATATATATATATATATATATATATATATATATATATATATATATATATATATATATATATATATATATATATATATATATATATATATATATATATATATAATGGGGATTTTAATAAAATTATATAAATATGTATAAACATTAATTATTAGCCAGACTAAGATTTAAAAAGAAATTTATAATTTTCGTCTAAATAGTAATCGGATGATTTTAATGCATCCTAGTTTTTAAAATGCTGTTCTGTCCATAGTAACTCGAAATTCCACAGGTTATGAAGACAGAGCGTCCGAGAATGCCCATGGAGTAGTTTGATTGTTGATTCGATACCACCTCAGACCTTCTTTGCAGATAGCCCTGAGAGCTCAAGCTCCAACTGAGTGTTGCCTCATGGTTGCCGGACGCTGCCCCTGGTTTGGTTAATTCATCGACTGTAGAAGCGTACCGCATCACCAGTGGAGGGCGCTCTTCAGAACGAATGTAGGCTCTATAATCTTTAAGGGAGTAAAGGTGTTGTCCGGGTCATGCAACACGCACCAGTTGCTAAGTCCCTTAACACCTTTCTGACAAAGCCACTACAAAAAATCAGTCCCTTTGTTTAAATATACCAAATTGCGTGACTCGAGACTCTTAGTTACAACATGTTTTTCTACATGGCTATTGGAGTTCTCATTGTATTAACTGAAGCGAAACCAGCCACAAAACCACGTAAGTTTTTCTACTGACTCTAATATTAGAATCGCATTGGGTTACTTTTACCATTGAAGTTGTTTCAAGAAAATCGTTCCGCTCAGATATACTTAGGCTATATTTCCCGCAATTGTAACATAGTTAACGAAATATAATCACACAGAATTTACAAAACATATCGCTGAAGTATAAAGGGAGATTTAGTTATCGGACCTAATTAATAAGTCTAACTTATCCGTATGGTATAATTTGATCACAAGGAGTAATCTAATTTATGTCGACGTTAATGTTTTATATTAAAATGTATGTATGTATATATATATATATATATATATATATATATATATATATATATATATATATATATATTATATATATATATATATATATATATATATATATATATATATACATAACTACTGCAAAAAGTTCAGACAAAAGTGATTGTCCTTCTTTAGCCAGTGAATGCTCAGAAACAGAGTTTGGATGTTGCCCAGATAATACAACTACTGCTAAAAGTTCAGACAAAAGTGATTGTCCTCCTCCTTTAGTCAGCGAATGTTCAGAAACAGAGTTTGGATGTTGCCCAGATAATACAACTACTGCTAAAAGTTCAGACAAAAGTGATTGTCCTTCTTTAGTCAGTGGATGTTCAGAAACAGAGTTTGGATGTTGCCCAGATAATACAACTACTGCTAAAAGTTCAGACAAAAGTGATTGTCCTCCTCCTTTAGTCAGCGAATGTTCAGAAACAGAGTTTGGATGTTGCCCAGATAATACAACTACTGCTAAAAGTTCAGACAAAAGTGATTGTCCTCCTCCTTTAGTCAGCGAATGTTCTGAAACAGAGTTTGGATGTTGCCCAGATAATACAACTACTGCAAAAAGTTCAGACAAAAGTCATTGTCCTCCTCCTTTAGTCAGCGAATGCTCTAAAACAGAGTTTGGATGTTGCCCAGATAATGCTACTGTTGCTGAAAGTTCCGACAAAAGTGATTGTCCTCCTCCTTTAGTCAGCGAATGCTCTAAAACAGAGTTTGGATGTTGCCCAGATAATGCAACTGTTGCTGAAAGTTCCGACAAAAGTAATTGTCCTCCTCCGGCAGCCAGTGGATGTTCTGAAACAGAGTTTGGATGTTGCCCAGATAATAAGACAATAGCCAATGGACCAGATCATCAAGGTTGTCCTACCGAGGCAGTGGATGATTGCAAGTCTTCCAAATGGGGTTGTTGTCCAGATGGAAAAAAAGTTGCCAAGGGCTCGAATAATAAAGGATGCTTTAAACGTGACGCTCGTGGCTGCAGATCTTCTAAATACGGCTGTTGTCCTGATGGAAAAACATTTGCCGAAGAAGATGACGCAAACTGCTATATAGGTCCTTGCGCTAGTTCAAGATACGGTTGTTGTTCAGACAATGTGACAGCCGCAAAAGGCCCAAAGAAATCAGGTTGTCCCTATTTCAAACCAAGTTGCGATAAGACCAAATATGGTTGCTGTCCTGATGGGAAAACGAATGCCAAGGGCCCAAACAATAAAGGATGCCCCAATAGTAAGCCTGATGCCACCTGCAAGTCTTCAGAATATGGTTGTTGTCCTGACGAAGTAACAGCTGCCAAGGGTCCAACAAATAAAGGATGTTAGAATGGTAAGTCTAGTGGCTGCACGTCTTTTAAATATTTTTATTGTCATGATGGGAAACTACTGCCACAACTACTGTACCAAATATTTAACGATAATTTGTTAATTAAGTCTAATTCTCCTGACTGTTTTTTTTCTAGGTAGAGTTTTTGTCCAGACGGATTAACGGCTGTTAAAAGAAGTAGAGCTAACCGCTTGCTTTGAAAGCTGGAAAAGATGAATGCTTTGATGTCGAATCCATCGCTATTGTGAAATAGTTGAGCAAATAAACATTTTCCCCACACCGAAAACAATATGGTTGCTTAGCTAATTAGTTCAATATTTAAATATGTTATATACATATAAATACAATTATGTCTGTTTGTTTGTTTATATGTCTTTAACGCATAGTTTTATCATTCATCCGGTCCACAATGAGAAGTTGTTGAGAATACTCCTGGAATGATTTCTCCCTATACGAAATTAGAAGTCAAAAGGACGGCGCCCCGGCGAAGTGGTGCAATTCGGCACCGTACGATCTCAAGCATCTATTTTAGCAGCTGTGGTCCTTTGATTGGGTGTCCTATTTTTCTAATTTACTTGCATGTCTTCACATTTTCAATATATGTTTTGTTGGTAGGAAAAAGTGAAATTAAAATTGAATGAGGTAGCTTACGATTTTGCGCCATGGCCTAGTTTAAGAATACTTATCCATACAATTGGTTTTAAAATATAAAATTATATTGGCTACCAATATAATGGCCATGTCGAAAATAAATATAGAGTACTAAATTCATATAATTAAAACAGCAGCATTCATACAATTGTAAAGGAAAATAAAATAATTTAAACGTTTTAATACCAAACTTTGAATGCACTAAAAAGAAGTAAATAAGTGATGTTATTTAAATGCAAAATAATAACTCATTAAATAAATGATGTTCTTTAAATGCAAAATAATAACTCACTAAATATTGAAAAAAGCGTTATTAGATTCTTCATTTTAGTAATGGTATCTATAAAATATGCGGCCAGGTAGTGTGTCAGTCAGACCGTCCGTCCTTACGTCATTGCTATAGATTCTAGAACCATAAACGTAAACGCCACATGCCGTGCCTTTACTTGCATCGCATTGTCTTATTTAAAGATATGGAGTAGGATCTATTTATGTAACGACTTAAAGTTTTTGTTTTATTGTTGGCAAAGTATTTACTCCTTTGCATACGTCAATAAAAGAACGTGAAAGCAAGTTAATAAAAAGACTAGTGACAATTTAAGCGCATTTTCCTTATGTTATCCGTAACAATTTTAAATCGAGATAAATCATATATTCAGCAAACTTTTTGTGACCGAACGAAAGGATATTTTTGAAAACTTTCTTCGGCAATATTGTTCTAAATTATGGCAGGAATCGATTGGTAAATGTTTCAAGTCGCTAAGTGGTCTGGTTGCCGAGATATGGACCAACAACTGCATTTGTTCGAGGTTTTTTGGCTTTTCCGGGAAATCAAGGAAGGAAACCCGGGAATTTTTTTAGCCCACAATCATCCTCGGAACTTGTTTAACATATTTGCTTTTGGAACTAGTCCTCGATATTGCTTCGTTGAGGAGGAGATACGACTTAACGCTGCGGACGCACATCCATACATTCATTCATTCATTCATCCATCCATCCAGAAATGACGAGTTAATAATCGCAATTGTCCGTATGGAAATTGCGCTAAAAACTACATAAGTTATAGTATGAAAAATAGGCAATCTTTAAACCACTTCCATGACTTATTCAGTATTCTCTTCTTTAAATAGTAGAATCGGGGTGCCGATAAAACAACAAATTAAATTATTTTTTTTACTAACGAATTAAAACTAAAAATGACTAAACTTTCAAAAGAAATTAATTCCAAATTAATAGAATAAATAATAATTAAAAAAAAAGAACGCGGGAAACCATTACACATATCATAATCAAGTTTCCTTGATTCATAGTCTTTGACAGACTTGCCAAATAAGAAGGAACACTATTCATAATTTTCGTTGGGCGTGAATAAGTAAATAATAAATTTTAAAACTTGATTATTACAAGCCAGAAATTAGTTCGAGCCTACCTCTGTGTGCTTTGTTGTCTCATGATGGATATACTTTGCAATGAAATGATTTAATTTGGAATGTATATATATATATATATATATATATATATATATATATATATATATATATATATATATATATATATATATATAAAATAAGGGGGCTCGAAAAAATATTGCGAGGGGGCGGCGTTTTAATAAGTTTTGCCTAGGGCGTTAAATAACCTGGCGCCGCCATTGGCTACGTCACTGGGGAATTTTGTCCACCTAACTTTAACGGTACTCTAGTAATTGACTTTTCAGAAACCGGAAGATGACTAAGTAAAAAAAAATAATAAAAAACTACAAAGTTGACAAAATACTTATACATGAAATTTTGTCAACATAACTGTAACGTAACTCAAGTTATCGTGTTCACAAACAGACAGACAGACACTCACATAGACACACGGACATAATTGCAAAGCCCAGTTTTTTCGACTCAATGACACCTAAAACAGATTTTAATAAATCTGGATTTAGAATTTTTACCCAATTAAAATAAGTCTCCTATACTCCGTAATTGATTAAGTACTGAGATATAATACGTTGAAACTTGTCAACATTTCATGTGATTTTTGTGCACGATTACAAAATTTCCTCTCTACTTTGTATACAAGAGAGTAAAAAATAAAACTTATAATTTTTAAATATGTAAAAATGAACACCTATTTAAATAACTGAAAGGAAAAGCGTGAGTAGCTTTTCCTTTAATTTTGTGAAGGTATTCAACTGGCTCTTTTGTTTCAGTGTGAAAATATTGATAAATGGGGATCTATTCTATCAAAAATCAATATTCTGATCAATAAGAGCGGACGTTTGACTTATCGAAGAATATGATGAAAGAGAAAGGCATTCTTGCAAGTTTTGGTGTCTGTTTTTATTTTTAACAACCTTCAACGGGTGAAAACTGAAGCGAGAAAATAAAATTTTAGACCTGGAAATATGACTGAATGTTTTTAAGTACATCCGTTGCTGGAAATAATGTGAGGTCTCCTGTAAAAGGTGTGAGGTCTACTGGTAAAGGTGTGAGTTCTGCTGGAAAAGGTGCGAGGTCTGCTGGAAAAGGTGTGAGGTCTACTGGTAAAGGTGTGAGGTCTACTGGTAAAGGTGTGAGTTCTGCTGGAAAAGGTGCGAGGTCTGCTGGAAAAGGTGTGAGGTCTACTGGAAAAGATGTGAAGTCTACTGGAAAAGGTGCGAGGTCTGCTGGTAAAGGTGTGAGGTCTGCTGGAAAAGGGGGTGAGGTCTACTGGTAAAGGTGTTAGGTCTACTGGAAAAGGTGCGAGGTCTGCTGGTAAAGGTGTGAGGTCTACTGGAAAAGGTGCGAGGTCTACTGGAAAAGGTGCGAGGTCTACTGGAAAAGGTGCGAGGTCTACTGGAAAAGGTGTGAGGTCTACTGGAAAAGGTGTGAGGTCTGCTGGAAAAGGGGGTGAGGTCTACTGGAAAAGATGTGAGGTCTACTGGAAAAGATGTGAGGTCTACTGGTAAAGATGTGAGGTCTACTGGAAAAGGTGTGAGGTCTGCTGGAAAGATTTTGCATGTCATTATGATATCATCCTATGGTTAATAAGGAATTTGTTGCACTGTGTACATTTACTAATTAAAATAAGCCACATGAATCTTTTAGACACTAAATTATAATTTTAATGGTTAACCTCGCATTTTTTACTACATGATATATGATATAAGATTTTTATGGTAGGATTTTTCTTCATAGTCTGCCAAAAATAAAGCACCAGCTAAACGGAAGGATAAGAGCATATTAATGTACTTAAATTAACCAAAGTTTACAAGTTTGTTTATGTATATATATATATATATATATATATATATATATATATATATATATATATATATATATATATATATATATATATATATATATATATATATATATATATATATATATATATATATATATATATATATTTAGATTCAATAATTCAGAATTTCTACAATAAGTGTAAAATATAAGTATAATGCCAATTTTAATTTTTCCAACAACATAATCAATTTTCGATAGACATTATGTGATTATGAGATTAATCATTATGTGATTTAATGATAACGGCACGTACCACCCGGAAATAATTGTTTTTGTAATAGCAAAAAACGAAGTAACATTATTTTTTGTGTTTAAAAAGTAAAAACAAATAAAAATGAAATAAGGTAAGGAAACAGGTTGGGTAGTCAATAAATTAAACTGGTGCTCTGGATGTTTCTTTTTTTTGTATTAGTATTCAAACGTTATATTTGATGTGTAGATGTATAGATTGGTTTAAGTTTAATTTAGTGCAGCCAGAAGACCGTTTTCCAAGGGGAAACTGAGAGTCTAGTAAATAAAATTTACAGGCTTGACACTGCGATAGTTACTGAAGATAGCGATAAAAAAAAAGAATAGATATAGATGACTAAAATGACAATTGTCACACCAAAGCTCCACCAAATCCATACGATATTAAAAAAAACATATGTTCTAACTTGCAGTAGGGTGGAGATTCATTAAAAGAAAATTCTTTTGTGAAAATGTATTGTGCATCGCAATAATTATGTAATTTCAAAACAATCAGCTTAGGAGCTAAAAGCAATTTAAATCCTATTTGATCAATAACTATTTTGTCTAGACATGGCGACTCTACATTAGAGGCGTAGCTAGAGGAGAACGATTGGGACGAGCGCCCTGGGCGCCGACATAAAGGTGCGGAAATAGAATTCGAAAAGCTCATTGTGAGCAGTAGTATTTAATTATACACAATCAACCTTTGGAAAATAGATTGCTACTTAGGTTTAAAGCTTATATTACTGTTTGTGTGTGTGTGGGGGGGGGGGGGGGGGCAAATTTGATAGTTCATCTCGTTGCCGGAATGGGACTACAGCCAGCCAACACTACAAAACCTATACCCTACCCCAATTTATAGGCTCTAAAACCCTGAGCCCACTAATATGCGCTATAGCGTGTCAAATTTAATACACCCAACAACCACTGCCCCACCCCGTATTGTTATTTTCAAATACGATTATCACCAACTAAACAGTATACATAATCTAAACAAATGGTACACGACAGTCAAGCACAAATAAATTCTTCATTTGATACTTTTATTGATTTTTAGCGCAATTTCCATTCTGGAGAATTGCGTTTATTAACCCGTCATTTCTGGATGTATGAATGGATGGATGGATGGATGTGTGTCCGCAGCTTTAAGTCGTATCTCCTCCTCAACGAAGCAATATCGATTACTAGTTCCAAAGCAAATATGTTAAGCAAGTTACGAGGATGAACATAGGCCATACAAATTCCGGGTTTCTTTCATGGATTTCCCGGAAAAGCCAAAACACCTCGAAAAAATGCAGTTTTTGGCCCATATCTCGGCAACCAGACCACTTAGCGACTTGAAACCTGTACCAATCGATTCCTGCCATAATTTAGAACAATACTGCCGAAGAAAGTTTTCAAAAATATCCTTTCGTTCGGTCACAAAAATTCTTTTGAATTAATTAAAATTTGGACCGAATTAGTAGGCATTTTTTCCAACCACACCACACGCGTCATCACGTTCAATAGCTGCGCCATCACGTTCAATGGTTGTGTCATCACGTTCAGTAGCTAGGCGCGCAATGGTTTTTAGTCATGTAACTCTATTGTAAATAAAACATGTAAAATACTGAAAAAAATTAATAAAAAAACGTTTTAATAACTAACCAATGGTTTTACTAACCCTGCTCTTGATTTACGCTACGACAGAGCTATTTTTAGATAACATAAGGAAATTGCGCTAAAATTGTCACTAGACTTTTTAATTAACTTGTTTAAAGATTCTTTCGACATCCTAAATCAAACAGTAACCTTAAATTGGTCATTGTGTGGATTTTTCAAAATTTTGTATATATTTAAATAATCTTTTCCCGAACGTGCACAAAACACATGAGGCAAATGAAGTAGAGTTCACCTGTTTCTGAGAAACCTAGCATATGAAGGACGTTCTTCAGAACGCATGTAGGCCCTATAATGTTTCAGGGAGGCCAAGTGTATTCCCGGTCATACAACACGCACCAGTTGCTAAGTTCCTTAACACCATTCTGACAACGCCACTACACCCAATCAAACACTTTGTTTAAATATACCAGATTGCGTGCCTCGAGAGTCCTCGTTACAACATGTTTTACTACATAGCTATTGGAGTTCTCATTGTAATAAGTCAAGCGAGACCGGCCAGAAAACGACGTAAGTTCTTCTACTCACTGTAATATTAAAATCGCATTGGGTTACTTTTACCATTGAAGATGTTTTCAAGAAAATCGTTCCGCTCAGCTATACTTAGGCTATATTTCCCACAACTGAAACATAGTTAACGACATAAAATCACACAGAATTCACAACCCGAGCAAAACATAAAGCTGAAGTATAAAGAAGAATTTAGATATCGGACCTAACTAATAAGGCTAACAAAATATTAAAGTCGATGAAATTTAGGCAAACTGTGTAAAAAAAATTGAGTTATGCTTGATTGAAGCTTCAACTTAAGAATGAAGTTAGCTGTTTTTTTCAAAAGTAAACTTAAAAGGCTTAATGGATTTTTAATGCGCTAAAACACGTGTAATGTTTTAACATTTCCGTTTGGTATAATTTAATCAGAAGTAGTAACGTAATTATCTTGAAGTTTAAGTCATATTTCTTTGTATTCAGACATGATATACAGATATAAATAATTATATATATATATATATATATATATATATATATATATATATATATATATATATATATATAAATAAATAAATAAATAAATATATATATATATATATATATATATATATATATATATATATAATATGTATACGTGTTAGTGTGTATATACATTAATGGTTTTAACAGAGTCATTTATCTGCCAGAATTAGGGAAAGACTGTTCAAAAACAGAATACGGATGCTGTCCAGATTCCACTACACCCAAAATTGGACCAAATTTAGATGGGTGCCCTCAACAGATTTTCGATATGGAATGTTCTGAAACAGAGTTTGGATGTTGCCCAGATAATACAACTGTTGCTGAAAGTTCCGACAAAAGTAATTGTCCTCCTCCTTTATCCAGTGGATGTTCTGAAACAGAGTTTGGATGTTGCCCAGATAATACAACTGTTGCTGAAAGTTCAGACAAAAGTGAATGTCCTCCTCCTTTAGCCAGTGGATGTTCTGAAACAGAGTTTGGATGTTGCCCAGATAATACAACTGTTGCTGAAAGTTCCGACAAAAGTAATTGTCCTCCTCCGGCAGCCAGTGGATGTTCTGAAACAGAGTTTGGATGTTGCCCAGATAATACAACTGTTGCTGAAAGTTCAGACAAAAGTGATTGTCCTCCTCCTTTAGCCAGTGGATGTTCTGAAACAGAGTTTGGATGTTGCCCAGATAATACAACTGTTGCTGAAAGTTCAGACAAAAGTGATTGTCCTCCTCCTTTAGTCAGCGAATGTTCTGAAACAGAGTTTGGATGTTGCCCAGATAATACAACTGTTGCTGAAAGTTCCGACAAAAGTAATTGTCCTCCTCCTTTAGCCAGTGGATGTTCTGAAACAGAGTTTGGATGTTGCCCAGATAATACAACTGTTGCTGAAAGTTCCGACAAAAGTAATTGTCCTCCTTATTTAGCCAGTGAATGTTCTGAAACAGAGTTTGGATGTTGCCCAGATAATACAACTGTTGCTGAAAGTTCCGACAAAAGTAATTGTTCTCCTCCTTTATCCAGTGGATGTTCTGAAACAGAGTTTGGATGTTGCCCAGATAATACAACTGTTGCTGAAAGTTCCGACAAAAGTAATTGTCCTCCTCCTTTATCCAGTGGATGTTCTGAAACAGAGTTTGGATGTTGCCCAGATAATACAACTGTTGCTGAAAGTTCCGACAAAAGTAATTGTCCTCCTCCTTTATCCAGTGGATGTTCTGAAACAGAGTTTGGATGTTGCCCAGATAATACGACGAATGCAAATGGACCAGATCATCAAGGTTGTCCTACCGAGGCAGTGGATGATTGCAAGTCTTCTAAATGGGGTTGTTGTCCAGATGGAAAAACAGCTGCTAAGGGCCGAAATAATAAAGGATGCTCTAAGAGAAAATCACGTAAGTTCTTCTATTCATGGGTTACTTTTACCATTGAAGTTGTGTTCAAGAAAATCGTTCCACTCAGCTATACTTATATTTCCCTCAATTGTCACGTAGTTAACAAATTAAAGTCACACAGACTTCACATGAAAAGCAAAACATGAAGATGAAGTATAAAGAATTTAGATATCGGACCTAATCAGTGTTTCTTCCAGACTTTTTTCACCCTGGGCGGGGGGGGGGCACTAGAAATTTTCGGGGGGGGGGGGGGGGGGGTAGACTGTCTTCGGGGGGAGGGGGGCGGACACCGTTAAAAGTATATATTTTCTATATAAATTATATAAATTTCATTACTTTCTTTAAATATATTAATGCACTACTATTTATATCACTATAATTTAAAGCGAGGGCCGTTATAATAATAAGCATTTAAACAAGCGGCCCACGCTTTTAATTATAGTGATATAAATAGTAGTGTATAATATATTTAAGAACGTAATTTATTTATATATATATATATATATATATATATATATATATATATATATATATATATACACTAGGCATACTGCCTAGCTTCGCTTAGGTTTTTAAAAAACATTTGAGAATTTGAATACTTAATTATTTAGCGATGGATTGGGTGTGGAGTGCTTTAATAAGTTTAATTTAAACAGTAATGCTAACTTTAGAAAAAATGTTTTTTTCTGTCATTTAAATTCCGTTCTCAGGGAATTTTTGGAAAGTACGCCATGTATAACTAAAATGGAATTAGAACTACACAGGTTCCATGAACAGTATATCTCATAATTTATATTACATTGCCTTTTGAAATTTATTTATTTATTTAATTAGGATACGTAACTAAATTAACAACTTAATTTTGTACTAAAACAAATGCTATACTTCGTCATTTTCTGTTTCTGTTTAAAATAGTATTCAATTATTTGAAAAATAATAATTTTAAAAACGTTACCTCCCTTGAAAACTGAACGTATGACGTATGTCTTTGTTTACTTTTTTTTTACAAACAGTTGCTATGCTTATATAGGAAATTACGGTATATGAACATATTTACTTTAACTACTATAATGGCTATTTCCGACGGGAATAAAGTTTTATTGTTACCCTCCAGGGTTGGTCTACGACGTAACATAATATTAAGGGGATCGTTCGTCAATTTATATATATATATATATATATATATATATATATATATATATATATATATATATATATATATATATATATATATATATATATATATATATATATATATATATATATACATATATATATATATCATATAAGGAGAATTTCACTCACGGTCATATTTTAGCCCTCGTCGAGGGCTTTGAGTCTGACCAACAGTTTTTCCATACGGCCTAGTCATCTATAGAAGTGTATGCAAAACATTAGCATGATGTAAAGAGGTTAAGTAACCAAAAAATTGTGTTGAAATTTCCCTGTTTTTCTCATAAAATACAAAGATTATATAGGGAAATACGACTGGTCAGTTTTGACCCATTTCCCGATTTTCCCCGGACATGCCGAGTTTTTTGTGACACCCCAAAGCGTTCTCCTACCATCTCACAAAATTTCAAGGGGGGTCGTCGGAGGAAATTTTTTTCGTAATAGAGCTCATATAAAGAGAATTTCACTCGCGGTCATGTTTTAGCCCTCGTCTAGGGCTTTGAGTCAAACCGACAGGTCTGCCCTACGGCCAAGCCGTTTACCTATAAACATGCAAAAAATTAGCCAGATGTAAAGAAGGCACGTGCCATAAAATCCGCGTTGAAATGACCCTCTGTTTTTCCCATAAAATACAAAGATTATATAGGGAAATACGACTAGTCAGTTTTGACCCATTTCCAGATTTTTCGCGGACATGGCGAGTTTTTTGTGACACCCCAAGGCGTTCTCCTACCACCTCACAAAATTTCAAGGGGGGTCGTCGGAGGAAATTTTTTTCGTAATATAGCCCATATAAGGCGCCGGTCAGTCGAGGTCAGTTTTGACCCCCTGTCCGTAGACTTTTCGGCAAACCGTCAGCGGCCCTAGTGTTCTATCGCCCCAAGGTACCATCGTGCCAAATTTGACGCGCCTGCGGCACCGGGAAGTGCCCTATCGTAGATTTATTATATTTTTAAAAAAAAAATTTTTTCAAAGTGAACTTAAAAGACTTTTATGTTTGAAAATGTCCGTTTGGTATAATGTAATCAGAAGGAGTAACGTAATTATGTCGACTTTTAAGTCAAATTTCTTTGTCACCAAATTACACACACACACACACACTCACACACACACATACAATACACACACACACATACACACACATACACACACATACACACACACACACACACATATATATATATATATATATATATATATATATATATATATATATATATATATATATATATATATAAAGCAATGTATGTGTGTATGTCTGTTTGTTTGTTTGTCTTTTATGCATTACTTCACCTCTCATCACATCGCCGTGAAACTTTGGGAAGTTAGTGAGAATATTCCGGGAGAGGTTTTTGCGGAAAAAGTTTTTCAAATTCGCAGGGGTGGCGCCCTGGCAGGGCGCGATTTGTTTTTTCTCTAAATGCGGTATATATTAATAAAAAACTATTTTGATTTGACAAAGTTCATCCGATCGCCATCAAACGTTGTTGTGTTCATCAGAACACTCTGGGGAAGGGTTCTGTAAAAAATCATATTTAATTTCTCAAGGGCGGACCCGCGTGAGGGTGCGTTTTCTATATGTACGGTATATACAATTTAAAGTCGAAATTAGTTTGACACAGTTCATCCGATAGCCATGAGACTTTAGGGAGTTGATTAGAACAGTCTGGGGCAGGATTCTGTAAAAAAGTAATTTTTAGTTTCGCAAGGGCGGCGCCACGGGAGGGTGCAATTTTTCACCATATTACGGTATTTAAAAAATAAAAGTCGATTGCAGATTGACACCATTCATCCGATCGATATCAAACTTTGGGGAAGTGATTAGAACACTACCTGGAAGGGTTCTGCATAAAATATTTTTTTTACTTTCGCAAGGGCGGCGCCACGGGAGGGTGCAATATTTCAGTATATACGGTATATAAAAAATAAAAGTCGATTGCAGTTTCACACCATTCATCTGATCGATATCAAACCTTGGGAAGTTGATTAGAACATTACCTGGAAGGGTTTTGCAAACAATTTTTTTTGTAATTTCGCAAGGGCGGCGCCCCGGGAGGGTTCGATTTTTCTCTATATACGGTATATAGAAAATAAAAGTCAGATGCGGTTCGACACTTTTCATCAGTGTGCCATGAAACTTTGGGGAGTTGATGAGAATACTCCCAAGAAGGCTGCTGAGTGCCCTGTAATACGTTTTTTTTTTTAAATCAGGAAAATTAACCAAGGTTAGATTATTAACACTGGGTTGTTTCCTTTTGTCCGTAAAAAATCCAAACAACTCCAAAGCCTACAGCTCTCAAAATAATGAAAATATTTCCGTAAAAAATTAAGCTTAGAAGGGCAACTCAAATCAAAATTAAAAGTCACACTTCTAAAAAAACCTTTGTAACGCGAGGAAATCCTTCTGTACAGTTTCGTCACTTTGCGAATGATGCCATTTGCATATATTTTTAAACGATCCAATCAGAGCTTCTAATATTTCCCCATTAGTAACGCTAACAAATTGCACCAGCCACACTGATGTTTATAGCACGTCGAATATTCATTTTTCGCTGGGTTATTCTGTGAGCACTGTGGCGCCTAGGTTAGTTGTAGCCAGGAGCCGTACGCGGCGCCTCTGCGTAAGTGTAACAGGGGCTCCCGAGAGCGCCCCACTACGTCCCTGACACACGGGCGGTCACCGAAGTGTGTTCTACCTCATTATTTTGGTGAGTCATTAATGTGCACTCAAGGTTTTCACGCGGTAGTGTTGGTATTGTAGGTAAACCCGTGTCCCTATATTTATGATCTAAGCGTAGGCATAGTTTACATTTAAATAACTCAGTTTTAGAAAACAAGGTCACGCGTCTTAGAACATAGGATTGGCAATGCATTGATTAAACCCTTCTTATATATTTCATCAGACTTTCTTATATCCCCGCGGCAGCGCGCGTGGACTAGTACGCTAGTATATATATATATATATATATATATATATATATATATATATATATATATATATATATATATATATATATATATATATATATATGTTACGGTCAAAGCCCGAAGTGCGGCCAACGCACGCATTGACCGGCAAATGTGCGCATTGGCCGGCTCTCTTGGTCAAAGCCCGAAGAGCTTAGCAATGAGAGCGTATTTCGTACATTGGCCGGTCAATGCGCGCACTGGCCGTGACGTACTGGCAAAAATCTGAAGCTCTTAAACTTAACAGCGTATTTCGTACATTGGCCGGCCAATGCGCTCACTGGCCGGGATGTCCTGGCCGACGTCCTATCTAGACTAAGTTGTGATCGCGTTTTCATTATTCTGGGTGCGGTTTCATTGTGAGTAACGTATTGTTTGGCTCTTGTTTTCTATAGCATTCTATATGTAATGCGACTTGACCAAAAGGGCTGTCAGACTAAGAGACAGACAGGCTGCCAAAATATTTCTGAACTAAAGAACATGTCGCCTGATCTTAAAATAGTTCCCGGAAAACCAAGGCATAGCCAAAGCCAAGATTCATTGTAGAACGTGCCAACAAAGATGTTCAAAACATAATGATGACAGGGATGCAGACAAATGAATTATCTCAATGGGCTAAATGTCTCAAATTCATTCAATTTATGAAAACCCCTTTTTTAATCAATGAATCCAACAATCGCCATGCGAAGCCTTGTTTGGATGCAAAGCAAAAATGGGACTTAGTATTTCAAATCTACCAAGAGAGGCTCTCGATAATTTAGTTACTGAGGAAGATCTTGCGAACATCGAACAAGAAATGGAGGTTGCCATAAATGCAACGACATCCTCAGCTAACACATCTGCTGCCGTGGCGTAACGTCCAGACAAGTTGAGTGACAATAATATAACCAACAGATTATAAGTTGTTTGTGTAAAATATTGTAGTGCAGCCCATTCTTGTGGATCCAGTGGCAACAATGTCTATGCAATATGCGGAATAGCCAATGAAGCAGACGAAGGGTACGGAGGGAACATTACTTGCAGATTGTGTCACAATAAACAAGAAATCATGGACAACAGGTCAGCAGCTCATACTAGCTTGCAAACTCAAGGTGCTAAGATGCTAACAAAATCAGATACAAATTTTAAACAAGCTGAAGTGGGAGATGATTTTTGGCATACATATCCAACATGTTGGCAAAGGTCGCGGTGATCCCCGAAACGGCATTGCGGTTATCATGAGCGTCGAGGGCGCTTTCTATGAGCTAGGAACGAAACATGGTGTTCTAAAACAACTGTATGCTCGTCCATGATCATGAACCTTGCGGTATAAAAAAAAAAACCCTCAAAATCTGCTCATGATCTTCTAATTCGGACTAAAGACCGAAATCAGGAGCCATTTCAGACTTTGGCCGGTCCACCATGGCCAGTCCGCGGATAGGCCGGCCAAAGGCCGAAATCAAGTAAAGTTTCGGACTTTGGCCGGTCAATGGGAGGCAATATTGGCGCATTGGCCGGCAAATGCGTGCTTTGGCCGACTTC